GGGGTCTAGAAATAAAGTTATAACTGCAATTAGACCTAAAGTCTAGTACATTAGTTGGTGTAAGACATGACTTACAAACAGCCAATACAATTACAAACCACTACATTAGGCCTATAATGTTTGCTAGATCTAGATCTTGCCTGTTGCATATATTGCCAATCTTGCACACCCGTTAATATGTTACATCAATCTCGTATTTTCTTTTTGTTGAATATACACTTATTTGTACGTTGTACTCTAGAACTTGTATTTGATCTACAGATAAACGATGGAATAGTGTAATTTACTTCTGTACATCAAATCAGTTTCACTGTATTTAGTGGGTGGTTTTTAAAAGTTAAAACTGCAAGCGTAATACACACAAGTAACGTAACACAGTGTCATATTTACTTAATGTAGGGCAGTTGCACTATATCCTAGGGGAGAGCATAATTATTAATTAATAGGCATTATATGCCAGAGGAAATTTTGCGCCCCTTCACACCTGCGCCTGGGGGCAACTGCCCCCTTTTGCTATGCCACTGCAACTTCTGAAATACTTTATAAAGTCTATTCTCAGGGCTATGAACACACAACTGGTGACCCAAGTCTCTTGTATCGAGTTGAAACTATGCCAGGATTAGGTTGGATCTTAAAACGAATTTTATACAAGGAAGAGTTAGAACCAAGATGGCCAACTCCAGAGAAGGTTAGAATCTTCTTCGAGTGATACATTTTAAGTTCTATTTTTACATTGTTCCAATTTTTTGTTCAGTTAGCATAATCGTTTTTTATATTTGTAAATAATGTATCTGCTATTAATTTATCAAACTTTCTTTCTTTTTATGTTTTGTATTTTCATTATTATGTTTTACTTCCTTGTTTTTCATATTGTCCATGTTGTCTTTATATTATAACAGGTACAAAACAAATATAAACATGTAATTTCTAACATTCATAAAGTCATTGATTGGAAAAAAAAGAAACAAATGTACAATGTTCACATTTGCAATCTTAAGTAAAATGCTATCTTCCCTATGTATTATATTTAAATTTGATGATTTATTTTTTCAAGAACCATACTTATAACATATTTTATGAGTGATCTAATAGCCAAAATCAAAACCGATATATGTCTACATTTCAATCTAAACAAACAAGTTGCCTGATCTGTTTTTACACACATATAGCAATGGGATTGGGACATGTGGATGAGACTGCCAGATATCAGAAAAGGACGAGAATGTATTATCCCTGATGTATCTAGGACGTACCATTTTGGTTCTTCAGGACTGAACATGAACTCATACTTTCAAGATGTGTATTTCAAAAAACATGCCTTTAACACTCTGCCGAACATCCAGATTAAAGATATAGACAGGTGAGATACCATATATTAGTCCAAGTTGAGTTCTATGTACCTACACTGACTTTATCTTCTCCTACTGTAACCTTTATGAAAAATATAGCATGCAATATTACTACATACTAGTGTCCAGATTAACATTATCTTATTTTACTGTAACCTTTATCAAAAATATAGCATGCAATATTACTACATACTAGTGTCCAGATTAACATTATCTTATTTTACTGTAACCTTTATCAAAAATATAGCATGCACTATTATTACATACTAGTGTCCAGATTGATATTATTTTATTTTACCGTAACCTTTATCAAAAATATAATATGCATGATGAAAACATAGTAGTATCCAGACTAATATTTTCATATTCTAGTGTAATCCATTCTCCAAAGACATAAGCAATATTAGTACATACTAATATAAAGTTTAACAGAGTTTAGTCCAAATGAAGGAAATCTATCAAGATGTATTACATTATGCTAAACCAAGAACAATTAAAATAGCTTAAATCATTTCAACCATAGTCTTGTTTCTCTGATTCTTTCTAGCCTCAGAAAAGACAATTATGAAATTTTACTTGAGGAACTATTAAGGTAAGGGAAGATGAATGGGGTCAGTGAAAGCTGTAAAGTAAGTGCAAACACCCAACACATTTGAAAATTACATAAGATTATTAATAAAAAAGATTAGATATATTTTGTGCCTATGGTTTTCTGATGGTTATTTTCTTCTTGTGAAGCATACATTGGTTTGTGAGTAATACACTGCTTTCTTAACATTAAATATGTTTATAGCTCTGTATATGTAACTAGAAATTGTAGGCAATAGCACTGTCACAGTTTCAAGTAAAATCATTTAAACTGCCCCTCCTATAGAGCCATTAAGGACACTTTCAGTTAACTCATCGATATTAATAATTCCTATAAAAATACTTCATTGTTGCATGTACATTTATTAATCTTTTTTGCTAGCCACAGGTTAATATTGATAATGATTCTCCCATGATATCTTTCAGTTTGAAATATGTTAGTATACCTTACTCAGAAGTTCTTCAATTAAAACACCTAATTTGTAATATTTCTCTTTGAGTGAGATCATTATCATTCAGATGTGCTTAGATTTTGGTAAAGCCTATGGCTTTATTAATTATATTAATTTTGGCATGTAGTGTTAACTAAGAATAATTGAATTTCATGTAATACTATATTTCACAGAACTGGAATAGTCTTGGATCACAGCAAGTCACCTTGTGAAGAAAACTTTATACCAGAGACTAAGGTATGCACTTGGTGTTTAGTAAAAAATATTTTCTTTAATTTCCCCTTAATATCAGCTTGACAATAAATTACTCTTAGAAACACTATAACTCTCTAGGTGAGTTTGTCATTACTCCTGACCAAATGTTTAATAGTGTTTTCAGTGCTACCAGCAGCATACATAGCTGCCTGTTTATTGATTGTTTCTAAAGACAACATATTGTTACGACAGTGGAAGTCATGTGGCGCTGGTAACACGTAATTAGTTCTAGAAAGATCAGGGAACATACAAATAATCCAGTATTTGCTAGGCGCCCTCTATTCTTGTGTATAAGTGTGCCAGTCAATTAATTGGAATTGTATAGCAGACAGAGAGATTGAAGATATAGATGGACAACTGAGTCAAGCACGGTAGTAAGTAAAGTGCGTATCATTCTTTGTAAATTATAACATGTGTTTAAGTTAAGGTGACTATGGAAATTAAGTGTATTGCAAAGTTGAACTGAGAAAGAATAAACTAGTTTTATTTAAGAAAGGACTTGCGACACTAAAGTTTCATCCGAAAGAAATTATATGAGGAAATTAACTAACGACCAGAGACGTAACAATATGATGTCTATTGTATACACAAGTATGTAAAGAACATCTGCTAAATGTGGATTGGGCAGAACATCATTTTTAGTCAGTTGGTGTTCCATATGTTATTAGTAATAACATAATCTTATTTATCAAACATTTATGTAAAAACATTTAAGGTGCTAGATATTAATGAAGAGAATGTGGGTCATGTTTAAGAGAATATGTGTTTTGTTGGACCAAGTAGAATTTTGTTACTTAACATAAAGGGAAAAGTTATAACTGACTTGATGTATTCGTACTCCAGTAGTTCCTTTTAGGAACCTTGAAAAAAAAATTTTTTTAAAGATGAAAGCATCAAATGTTAATACAGTACACAATTTGAGAATTTTTTTTACAATGTCTTAACATTTTTTGTAATTTCTTGCTCACAGGGGGAAGTATATATCATGTTTATAAAGATGAACACACCTAAAGATTTTACCACTTGGTTAGAAGTTGCAAAAGTAAGTAATCTGAAAAAAGTTTTGGAATAATTTATAGAATCTTAATTCTTGTATTTGATGTGAAATAGAAAATAAATTTAGTTTTTAGAAAGCTTTAAAAAACCACATTAATCAAACTTTACGAGCAATACTAATATTTTGTTCATGTATTTTACCAAATTGAATTGAGTTAAACAATTATTTTCTCAACAAACATATTTTTGACTATGTTGTACCGTTTCTTGCTTATATCATGTATGATTAGTGTTTTCCAATAAATGATGATTTGGAAAGTTAATACATCTTCAGATTCTCTCAATGCAAGAAATAATAACATAGGTTTTTCATGACCAGATTTTTGTGAATCCTTAGGTTTTGCTAGTGTTCTGATATTAGTATTCTGAATTTGAAAATGTTGACCCTCTACATTCCTTTTAATTCTAACAAGTTTACTATAAGCTGTATCTAAAACAAAATTAGCTATCTTTTTAACAGCATAAGGTTTATTTATCCAAATGTACACTTTCTTTAAAGTGCTTCAGGATCTGGGACTTAGATGCCAGAGGTCATCATAAAGTGAGTTATTTTAGTGTAATATTAATACATCTCATCATTCTCTTTTAACAAATTATGAAAAATGGCAATTATTTCACAGGGATGTTATTTATAATAAATAATTTACAGGGTTAATAACTTCAGAATAGATGTTTTAATGCACTTTCAGGTAACTTTAATAAAAACTTCGTTTTAAGAGATGTTCTGTGTAATGTGATATTGTAGCTGTGATGGAGAGCTTCTCTGCTTGAATGGCCGAGTTTTATCAAGTTGTGGACTAGTAGAATACAAAATATAGCTAACTTCTAATTCTGACTTTCGTTTAAGGGCTTCTCTTTTATCTATGATGTGGATTGACTCCTTAATCTTTGTTTTACAATTATTTTAACCCTTAATTTAATTTTAATTAAATTTAATTAACTTTACAATTAATTTGTGTCTGATCCAATATATGTTATTTCCTATGTCTGCTCAACTTATCATGGACATAGATCACCAAGTAAAACTGCAACAACCATATAATAAATCAGAGAACAATTCAATGATAAAAAGAATGATGGAGTCCATCCACTTCAGCAGTAAAAAAAAACAACCTTTCATATGGATTTTGGATTAAAAGATTAGTGATCTTGTCTTTGATGTTTAAAGATTTTTTTTTGTTTTTAATTCACAAACAATGAACAACTCAAGTACCACATACTTTTTCCTAATAACAAAACAATATTTACTTGAACAGAGCATGTGGCGGATGTACATTAAAGAAAATCAGTTGATTGTAGTTGGCGTACCAAACTCTCCATACTCGTAAGTGTTCTGAAGCTTTATTTTTTCTTCAAAGCTAGTTTACTGTATGAATGTGTAGGTTACACTAAATATAATTGTTAATAATTTACGCACATTTTCAATATTATGTAAAACAAAATATGTGTGCTAGAAAAAAACTGTTCACGAGTTCACCAAAATTATTTTAACCATAATTTTGTATTTAAAAGGAATTTTAAGTGGCACAGTATCTTACCTGATTCACACAATGTAAATAAAACTATTAATTTCTCTCATTGCAGAGCCTTCAAACCTGCCAGAGTGACTCCAATTTACTTGGAAAACCAGAAACTTGAACCTAAGTAACCCATATCTCTCAAAATGGAACCAACAGAAGTGAAAAGTGTGATGAACTGCTGATAGAGAACTTTTCAAATTACTAATCATCAATGAAGCCCAGTGAACTTCACGTGCTAAAAGTATATGACTGAAAACATAAATAAAAAGGATCCTACTGATTGTTAACTACAGTGCCTTGTAAAGGTATTTACCCCACTGCAAGGTTTCCACATTTTCTTGCCGTCTGAGCTTTTAATCATGAAACTTTCAAATGGGACTTTATATTTCGAATCTACACAATCTACTCTTAAACTAAGAAAGCTAAAAAAATGCTCATATTATGTAAGCAAGTTAGATTTTCAAAGAAAATTAGTACATTATCAATTTCATAAGTATTCAAACCTTTTACTATGGCAACCCTAAATCAGTTCAGGTGCAAAAGATTAGTTTGAAAGGTCAAAAAATGAGTTTAATGATCTCTGTATGTGTGTAATCAAAGTGTTTTTTTAACTTGACTTTAGAGTAAATGCATCTATTCAAGCCACAACTCATATAGTGATACAACAAACCAACCATGAAGACCAAGGAGCTTCCCAAACAAGTCAAGGATAAAATGGTGGAGAAGCACAGATCAGAAGAAGGTTACAAGAAAATTTCAAAGTTGCTGATTATCATTTTGAGTATGGTGAAGTTCATGATTAAGAAGTGGAATGTGCTTCATACCATCCAGTTGCTACCCAGATCAGGTCGCTCTTCCAAACTTAGCAGCCGGGCAAACAGGAAACTGGTTAGGGATGCCACTGTGAAGCCAACAGTGACTTTGAAAGATTTGTAAAGTTCTCTGGCAGAGATGGAAGTCAGTGTCCATACATTGACAGTATTCGGGTGTAAGCCTAACACAGCACATCATCCAACCAACGCCATCCCAACTGTCAAGCATGAAAGTGGCAGCATCATGTTATGGGGATGCTTCTCATCAGCAAGGATTGGGAGCCCCGTCAGGACTAAGGGGAAGATGGATGGTGTAAAAGCACAGGCGAATCCTAGAGGAAAATCTGCTTGAGTCAGCCAAAAATCTAAAACTGAGTCCAAAATTCACATTTCAGCAGGACAATGACCTGAAGCACAAGGCCAAAGCCCACTGAAGTGGTTTTAAAAGAAGAAAGTGATTGTCTTGGAGTGATTCAGTCAAAGTCCTGACTTGAATTGAATAGAAAATTTATGGCGAGACTTGAATATTGCAGTCCAACAATGATTCCTAATGAACTTGTCAGAATTGGAGCAATTTTGCCAGGAAGAATGGGTAAAAGTTACATCATTTCATTGTGTAAAGCTGGTAGATACCTTTCCAAAAAGACTCATAGCAATAGTTGCTGCCAAATATACTTCCACCAAGTACTGACTTAGGAGGCTGGAAATTTATACAATCAGAAAATTTCAATTTATATATTTTTTTTTTGCAGGTTTTGTTGACATTCAACCTCCTTCACACCCAACAGTGTTAAGTTTGATCATTAGAGTTTTGAATAATAAGTTCATTATAAAAATTGTTCACATTATTTGTATTTTATTAAAATGTGACATTATTGGTAGAGGTGAATACTTTTGGAAGGCATTGTACAAAACTCTAAAGAGTAAGAATAAAACTAGATTTGACTAGTTTTCTAAATACTGCAATATCTAAAGCACAAATTGTATTATTCTTCTCTGGTATGACTTGAGTCAGTTTTTGCTTACAATAACATATCAGTGTACTTAATAAGCTCTTTATATTAGAATGTTTTGTGTTCACTGATAACAGGATCTGTATATAATCACACATCATTGTATAAAATAAACTTTCTCTCTCGTGTCATATAGTGTTTGCAGTATGCAACCACTTTTGTGTATATTTACTCTCCTATATGTAGACAGTAATGCTATTAGTTACAGCACTATCTGGCTACCCTCCATACAGACATGTTATGGTATGCCACAGCACTATGTAACTGACCTCTAGACAGTCATGCAATGTTTACAGTACTGCTACGACAGCGGGAGTCACGTGACTCTAGTAACACATCACATTCTCGAAGGTTCGTGAATCCTCGAGTGTTTACTAGATTTGCAGTATTCTTGTATATATAAGACGGCCAAGAAGTGACGGCAACAATGTAATAAACAAGAGAGATTACAGCAGTTGTTGGAGGAAAAAGAAAAGAAACAAGAAGGTAGATTACATCAGTGGCAAGAAAACCTGCAACAGTGGCAGCTCGAACAGCAAAATAAACAAGAGAGATTACAGCAGTTGTTGGAGGAAAAAGAAAAGAAACAAGAAGAGAGATTACAGCAATGGTTGTAGGAGAAATAAAATAAACAAGAAGAGAGATTACAGCAGTGGTTGGAGGAGAAAGCAAATAAACAAGAAGAAAGTCTCAAACAATTGAGAGAAAGCCAGAGTACACAAATGGAAAACATTATTAAATTTCAAAGCAAATTAAATACATTAAAGAATGATCTACTGTCTTTGACACAAGGAGGACATATTAGCCATCGACCTAATCAGCCTCAGACAATGGGAAGCCCCTTCCAGACCCTGCAGCTAAATCCTAATGCAGACATCTTCAGTCCTGTTAGAAGTCACATCCCACATATAAATGTTAGCAATAGGGGTGATCTAGAAAGAAGGAAATCACAGGAATTCGATGGGAAGGCACTGTGGGAAGCATATAGAACACAGTTTGAGCTCCTGGCAGAGATGAATGGATGGACAGAGGAGCAGAAAGCAGTATATTTGGCAACAACCCTGAAGGGACAACCACTGGAAATACTTGGACAGTTGTCAGC